TWAAAAATTGGTTATTTATTTTATCACAGCACAGATGTTGGATGGATGGATGGGTAAGCTGGGTATTGTGTATTGTCATTGTTTAAAGTGTTTCTAAAAGTGGCAACAGTATTTATACTGAAATTAAAGCAGTATAAATGAAAAGTTACTGTGGATAGTGGGTAGCTGCTCTTACAGTAATAATTACTTACATGCATGGAAATATTATCATCATCTCTGTTACATTCTTTTCCATTCCTCAGAGAGGTCACTTTCTTTATCTTGCTGTTTGTGTTTCATTTCAGATTTTTAGTGTCCTGTTGCCCTTTCTTTCTAGGGTAATAGTTCTGCTTGGTCAGTTTTCAGAAAGTTTGCAAAATCAGTTATATMTTGAATACTCTTGGATAAATAGGAYAGTCTCTCAGTGTTAAGAAACACTTAAATATTGACAAATTTCGGATTTCATTGCCTATGAATCAGTGTAATTGATCACTGTAGGTTGTCTGGAAAACACATGAATGGAAGTTAATAATAACACTGTGCTTCACTGCATAGGAAGGAAAAAAGATAGCAGAGTGATTCCACATGGGGTAGTCTTGCAGCTGTGTCAGAATGTTAATGAAGTGCAAGAAAAAACATTTGTTTAAGTATTTTGAAAGTATCTGCTCCTCAGCAGTAGGATCACGTCCCTTTTTTTGTTGACCATCTCTTTACTCATAAAGCCTCCTGTGTTAGTTTCTGCACAGTTTCCTCCTCCTCCCATCCTTCCAGCTGTAGCTCTGGATCCTCTCTGGGAGCAGAGGCAGTTGTGTTGACCCTGAACCCTTCACTACTTGGGCTTCCTGGGATTGCAGACAGACCTCTGGGTCACGGTCACATCAACAAGGGCAGCCTTGGAAACCTCAGCCCTTAAAAACACTACCTTTACCACCTCTTCTATAAAGACAAAGTAGTTCTTTGTGCTCCAGAGTTACTGGTCAACAAGGTAAACTTTTCCTCCCCCTCTGCTTAAAAGAAAATATTCCGTTTTGTCTCACCCCAAGCACTGGTGCCTGAGAGGATGGGGGGGGAAAGGTAGCATTCTGGAGCAAAAAAAAACGTTAAAAGTGGATGTTGTTGTTATCTTGTATTCCTCAGCTGTAAGTCCATCAGAGGTTTTTACCGATGCAGTTAATTGTCCAAAAGTGACATAGGTGTCTTATGCTGACCAGGAGGTATCCAAAGGTGCAATAATGGGAAATGCTTGGTTTCAGTAATGCAGTGTTTTTTTCCATGGTGGAATTYTGCATGTGCATCATCCCCTGTCACTGACAAGCTGTGGCAGAAGTGTCTTGGCTTGAAGAAACTGCCTGTGATTCCCTGTTGGTTTAAATCCCTTGGTCTGGARCTGGTCAAATATTCAATGTACAGATGTTTCAAGAAGCACATTTCTGGAGCATGTCCAAGGTTGAATATGTTGACTCCAGGAGAGGAACATAGCCCACTTGCTCTAAATTCACATTTGTTTCCTGGACAGAAAAAGGCAACATCCATCATGTACTAAATGTGTTAAACATCTTCTGTAGCACATCTTCAGGCACAAGATGTATGAATTAATTTCCACTGCAARTGTTCCTGCAATAAATCCAAAGTAGATTAATATGTGGGGTTTTAGTTTGTTTTGTTGGGTTTTTTTTTTTTGAGACAGGATTTTTATTTTCTTGCTCATAGCCATATTAATTTTCCCATTCTCTTCATTATGTCTCGGATATCCATCCCTGGAACTGACGTTGGGCATTTTTGAAATGCAAGTGTGATTCTTGATGATTTACTTTTCAGACCTGCATTTTCCTTCCAGTYTCTCCTGCCTCAAATAAGTAATTTTGATGGAAAGTGTCTGCTATATAGCTTGCACTATACTCTTTTGGGATAGTGCAGGGGGCAGAGGTTCTTGGGCCCTTTGGGATCAGGGGCTGCAGACAGGAGGCACAGCTTTAGCTGTGGGAGCCTGCTACTGGATGCTGCCTCTCCCTTTGAAGCCTGAGAGGCAATTGATTCTGTTACATGCAGTGCCTGCTTGGTYCAGTGATTTTGGAAAGTTGGACCTATTGTGTTTGCATACTGCATTTAAGATCCATGGGCACAGTAAGTCCCAGCTCCCAYGAGTGCTGAATGTACTCTCCTTGTCTAAATTGGCTGTTCTGCTGTCCAGCTATCACCCCTGCCCCAGCCTGCCTCCAGGAAGGCTTTGTTCTCCAGATGTGTCTGTTCCSTTTGGACAGCTGACTGTTTGGTGAGATGGTTCAGCTGGGTTACCAGCAAACGGTTAAAATGTGACCTTTCCATCTGTCTTGGGCATGGGGAGCTGTCACAAGGCAACCTCTGGCCTGCGTCTGCCTGGCCTCTCGTGAGGTTTGGAAGATGGGCAGTGTCTCAATGTCATTTCTGGGCAGAGGAGCTGAAGAAAATAACGTGATAACTGATGTTTGACGTTGCATCCTGTTCTCTCCTGAAATCTATTGTGAGATTTGAATGGTTAGTGTTACAATGAATGTGGCCTTTTTGTAAACATGCTCTTTGATACTTAGCCAAAAACTTTTTATAGCTATATTTTCACCAAGATTGGTGACCTTTTGCTTTTCCAGAGAAAAGCAGCTTGTTGGTTGGTTTATTTTACAAAGCAATCTTGCATATAATTCCTTGGGGAAATAGTTTATTTTTGTTCCTTCTCTTGACTTTCTTTGTCTCTAATACAATGTATCTGCTAAATTTACTGGGGTGGAGGTTGTCAGCTACTTTCCAGGGGATGTCTCTTCCTGCTCCTTCCCGCCAGCCCCTTTTTCTGACTCTTTTAGTATTGAGGCTTTTCAGGGTTTTAGTGGTCATCCCTCCCAAACCTCTGTTTAGAAAAGAGGAGCAACTGAGTTGTTCTCGGCTTCTTGGAGATTTTTCAGTGTTTTGCAGTCATGGATACAAGCGAGTGTGAGACTGCGTGAAGGAAKGAATTAGGATAATTTTTTCATTCTTCAGGATTGGACATCCATCTTGACTTACCAATAGCTTTTGATTTGACTTCTTATTTCAGTCAGACATCTCTGTACTTTTGTCCTTCACAATTCTTCTGTGCTTCCCCCAGTTTTCTTCTGAGATGTGTTTTATGCAATTTTTTGTAGTAGTAGGAAAAAATCCTTACATAGGAGCCTGTGCATATGAATGTGATGTGGGTGTGATTGTCAGCTTCTGCCTCGCTGATGACACCTTGCTGTCAAATACAACCTGTCTCTCTGACATTTCTGCTTTAGATATCATCTAACTTTCTGAAACTGAACATGAAGGGAGTGAAACCCTTTGTCACTGTATTCCCTCTTTTGACAATTTATGTAGTAGGTATTTCTGTGGACTGTTTTGACATTTCCTGAACTTAGGGTCAACTTTGACTAGCTGGGTTTTTTTTGAGCTATATTTTTATGAGACCAGTAATATTTTTGGGTAATATTATAAGAACATTTTTGGAGGAAACTCACCTGTTTTGCTGTATGAYTTAGATAATTGTCTGCATTTGGTGTTGCATCTTAATTTACTTAGATGTGTTATGACTGCCCTCTTGGATTTTTAATTCCTTAATTTATTTTTAGGAAATCCTATGTCATTGTGTTGTGCTAAGAATCAATTTACTATTTCTTTTGCTTACAGATTTTCTGTTGCTTTTCTGGTAAGAAATTTGCAGAGAATCTGTGTGGAATTTCTTTTTCCCCCTCCTATTATTGTGTTATTTAGGTCATTAACTTTACTCCCAAATAAGAAAAGTATTGTGCTTTTCTTGGTTTTAACCTATTTCAGAATGAACACTGGAGTCTGCTCTTAAGTTGTCAGGTGGGGAGGCACCATCAGGGTACCCAGCGGGATAAACTCCWTCACCCAGTTGTGATGGTTTGATCCATGGGGACTTGGGAATTCTGTCCAACAGATYACCTSAGTTTATAAAATRYATAGCAAGAAAAATTATGTAACTTSTATGTGCTTATAAAGATTTTGAAAGCATAATTTTTTCTCTTGCTGTTTAGTGCTTTTTAACATTTGTCTGATTTAAATCAAAAGTAAGGCAAAAACTCAGGGATAGTGACAAAAACCAGCTTAAATTAAAAAAAGTTAAATCCTTTGGAGTTCAGCTAAGTGAGACAGTAATTTTTGTAARCAGGATGAGCAATACTTGAAAAAAAAGCACACAAAACAAAGAAAACCAAACCCACCTGTGACAGTAAGGAGTGTTTAAGGAGAGTCAGCACTGATGATGTGAGCTCTGTACTGTTCTAAAGCTTTAATTTAAAATATTGGTTAGGAGCTCCAACTGCAGTGTGATTTWWAAAAAAAAAATTWAAAAARWTCCTGACCTTTTATTTAATGTTACTTAAGAGTTTGGGCTGAAGGAATCTTTTCTTTTTTCAATTAGCAGTAATTACAAAAATATACACTGTTCCCTGAGCTCTGACTTCACCTTGGCTTGGTTTAATTTCCTGTATCACCCAGTCGATGCTTTTGTACCACTCCCYGTGCTTGACATGTGCTTAAGCTTAGTTTGTCATCTGGGTCAATTATGTCAAAATATTTTCCAATTGAAGTTTCCCCTGCTTTTCCCTTCAGCTCTTGGCAGCTCCAACAGATTAATGAGGCTTGGAAAGGTCGACTGCTTTGCTTTGTGAAGAGCTGTCACTGAGTTTTGGGGAGATAGCTTAGCTTTTGATGGGGATTTCAGAGAGCAGAAGCCTGAAATAAGAAAGCTTGGTGACTGTAAGTAGTTATAAGCAAGACATTTTAGATGAAAAATGCAGAAGCCTTGTGGTTTTATGAGAAACTTTGGCAAACATT